CATGTGACGTAAGTATTGCTAGGCACCTCTCTCCAAGACTCACCTCGATTCCTCTTGACGAATTCCCTCTCAATAGTAGGATATTGATCATGCAATCAATATAATAAAACCACGGGTCTTAGCACTTGGCTGGCAAAAGTCGACATCACCTCAGCTTTCAAAGCTATGCCTATCCATCCAGATTCACGGCACTTATTTGGGGTACGTTGGCACAGGAAAATTCTATTTTGTTGTGCGCTTAACTTTCAGATGCAAAGCAGCACCAAGATTTTCCAACGTGTTATCAGAAGCAGCTTATTGGAATCAGAAGCAGCTTATTGGATTCATCAAACAGTTACGCAAAGTAATCCTCATCAGTTTCGCATTAGCCCATTGGAGTGGCTACTAGGAAAATTCTGGGGTAAGAAACGCCTTCTAATCGATCTGTCAGCTCCACGTAACTCCCTGTTTTCAAGCATAAACACCTCGATTCCTCTTGACGAATTCCCTCTCAATAGTAGGATATTGATCATGCAATCAATATAATAAAACCACGGGTCTTAGCACTTGGCTGGCAAAAGTCGACATCACCTCAGCTTTCAAAGCTATGCCTATCCATCCAGATTCACGGCACTTATTTGGGGTACGTTGGCACAGGAAAATTCTATTTTGTTGTGCGCTTAACTTTCAGATGCAAAGCAGCACCAAGATTTTCTGATGTGTTATCAGAAGCAGCTTATTGGATTTGTCAAACAATTACACAAAGTAATCCTCATAGCATCTACCCTTTTAGACAACTCAAATTTTTCTGAGCATTGGATTCCCTTACAGATGCTGCAAGAGCGCTCCCGGTGGAGCAAATATGTTTCTCCATCGACTACTGGCGAGGCTCACCCATCTGATGCCGTGAGTATTGAATTCCCATCAGATGCTGCAAGAGCCTCCCGGTCGAGCAAACCTTGCCTTTCCGTCAGACTACCGGCGAAGCATACCCGTCTGATGCCGTGAGTATTGAACTCCCGTCAGATGCTGCATGAGCCTTCCCAGTTGAGTAAATATGTGTTCTTTCAACTACCGGTGATGCTTACCCGTCCGTGCCGTGAGTATTGAACTCCCGTCGAACGCCACAAGAGCCTTTCTGGTCAAGCAAATCTTGGCCTTTCCGTCCGACTACCGGCGAAGCATGCCCGTCCGAGGCCGCGAGTATTGAACTCCCGTTAGATGCTGCGAGAGCCTTCCTCCTTAAGTGAATGTGTTTTTCAACTTACTGGCGAGACTTATGCCGAGTTCACACTGCACGACTATCTGGGGTAGCATTCAGTTGTTGCTGTGTTCACACTGCACGATGGAATGACGACAGGAGGTTACACACTGCATGACTTTACAATAGGAAGAATCGCCGACAGCTCTGTCTGGTGCAGGGTTGCCAGGTTTTCGCTACAAAACCCGCCCAATTACTACTCAAAACTAGTC